ATACAATCTGGGTGGAAAACGATTGAAGCATGAGAAAAAATGATCAAATACCAACCTTAGTACTGCTGAAATATTTTAAAATGTTTTTTAAAAGCTTGGTTTGTGTAAAAGTACCCAAATGCATATTAAAATTAATGTTAAAAGAAAAACACGAGCATTAATAAGGCCTGAATCTGAAGTAAGAGAATGCCTGAAAATCTTATAAAATTATTTTTCAAAAAGAGCTTCATTGATATATAATCAATATATAAAATATTGCATATATTTAATGTATACATTTTCATGAGTTTGAACATATATGACGCCATTATCAAAATCAAGGTACTAAATATACTCATCATCTTCAACTATTTCCTTGTGTTGTTTTGTGTTTTTTGTTGTTTATTGGTACGAGCACTTTACATGAGCTCTATCCTTTTAGCATATTTCAAGGTGTATAATACTTTATTGTCAACTATGGGTATTGTGGTTTACAGCAGATCCCCAGAACGTGTTCTAGAACTCATTTTCTTAATAATGCGAATAATACCAGTATGGCTGAGTGCTTACCATATGCCAGTAGTGCCCAACCACTTCATGTAGAACATCTCATTTAATCTTCCTAGCAACGGTTACAAAGTAGATACAAGCCCTGATTTAAAAACGAGGAAACTGAGTCCCTGAGAAGTTAAGTAATTTGCCAAGGGCATCTGGATATTAGGTGGTGATGCTGGTTTTAGAGAGGTGAAGAAGGTACAGAAGCAAAGTTTGAAGCTAGCAGAGGTTGGTACATGAAGTTTAAGAATCTGCTTCCATACATAAAAGTGCAAGGTGAGCAGCAAATGCTGTAGAAAGTTATCCAGAAGGTCTAGCTAAGATCATTAATGAAGGTGGCTACATTACATAAAGGAGTTTCAATGTAAATGAAATATCCTTTCATTAGAACAAAATGCCATTTAGGACTTTCATAGCTAGAGAGGAGAGATCAGTGCCTCACTTCAAAGCTTTAAAGGATAGGGCTGATTCTCTTGCTAGGGCATAAGACAATTGGTGACTTTAGTTGAGGCCAGTGCTCATTTACCATTCCTGAAATCCTAAGGCCCTTAAGAATTAGGTTAAATGAACTCTGTCTGTGCCCTGTAAATGGAAAAACAAAGCCCAGACGACAGCACTTCTGTTTATAGCATAGTTTACTGAATATTTTAAGTATACTGTTGAGACCCACTGCTCAGAAATAAAAAAGATTTTTGTTTCAAAAATATTACTACTCATTGACAATTCACCTGGTCATCCAAGAGCTCTGTTGGAGATGAACGAGAGGATTAGTTTTGTTTTCATGCTTGCTAACACAATATTCATTCTGTAGCCTATAGATCAAGGAGTAATTTTGACTCTCAAGTCTAATTATTTAAGAAGTACATTTTGTAAGGCTATAAGGCTATACCTGCCATAAATTGTGATTCCTCTGATGGATCTTGGCAAAGTAGATTGAAAACTTTCTAAAAGGGTTTTACCATTCTAGTTGCCATTAAGAACATTCATGATTCATCCTGAATGATGAATCATTTTGAGGAGGTCAAAACATCAACATTAACAAGGGTTTAGTAGAAGTTCATTTCAGTCCTCATGGATGACTGAGGGGTTCAAGAGATGTGGTTCAAAATAGCAAAAGAACTAGAACTAGAATTAGAAGGTGTGATTGAAATGCTACAAAGCCACAATAAAACTTCAGTGGATGAGGAGTTGCCTCTTACAGGCATACAGAGTGGTTTCTTGAGATGGAATTTACTCCTGGTAAAGATGCTGTGAACATTGTTGAAATGACAACAAAGGATTTAGAATATTATATAAACTTAGTTGATAAAACAGCAGAAGGGTTTGAGAGAATTGACTTCAATTTTAAAAGAAGTTTAATGTGGGTAAAATGCTATCAAACAGCATCACATGCTACAGAGAAGTCTTTCATGAAAGGCAGAGTCGATTGATGCAGCAACCTTTATTGCCATCTTATTTTGAGAAACTGCCACAGGCATCTGAACTGAACCTGCAATATCTCCAAGGTCTGCCTGCATCTATATTGTACATCTGCATACCTGCATTCATTGCAGCATTATTCACAATTGTCAGGATATGGAAACAACCTCCTAAGTGTTCACTGATGAACATATGAATAAATAAAATGTGATATATATGAGATAAAGATATATACATATATGTGTATTAGATTTTCTTACATTACATTGTCAGATAAAGATATATACATATATATTACATTTTCTTTGATATAGACATATATGTATCACTATATCCATATAGATATATAGATATCACATATTCTTTATCCATCATCCATCCATGCACGCTTAGGTGGTTTCCATGTCTTGGTTATTGTGAATAATGCTGCGGTGAACATGGGAGTTCACACACCTCTTTGAGATACTGATTTTATTTCCTTTGGATATATATCTAGAAGTGGGATTGCTGGATCATATGGTAGTTGTATTTTCAATTCTTTGAGGTTCTTTCATACTATTTTCCATAATGACTGCACCATAACTCCTTATCTTACATATGGTTTGCAAATATTTTCTCCCATTCTATGGTTGCCTTTTCTTTCTGTTGATTATTTTCTTATTTGTGCAGAATATTTTTAGTTTGATGTAATCTTATTTGCTTTTTTTTTTTTTCTTTTACTGCTGGTGCTTTTCCTGTCATGACAAAAAAAAGAAATCTTTGCCACAACCAACTCTGTGGAGCTCTCCCCCTATGTTTCCTTCTAGGATTTTTTATAGTTTCAGGTCTTATATTTAAATCTCTAATCCATTTTGAGTTGATTCTTGAGTATGATGTAAGATAAGGATCCAATTTCATTTGTTCTTATGTGGATATCCAGTTTTTTCAGCATCATTTATTAAAGAGACTATCCTTTTCCCATTGTGGTTACTTCTTTTAAAACTCCAAAAAAATAGAAGGAGACGCTGACTCTTGCCTATCTAACTCTTTGATTGCTTTAGGGAAGGGTGATACTGTTTTGTTACATCATTCAAAAGAGTCAGCCAATGTATGGTAGTGGAGATCCATTAGGTGGAGGAAAGCCTTGGCCAGAAAATGGCTTATTTCGCTAGTTTTTATATGTTGAGGAAGTCTTTCTTAATGTTTATTATGGTTTTCAGATATTCCAACCTACTTAAAATAAGTGTTTGATTACTTACAGTCATAAGAAAAGTGATAATATGCCTACTTTATTTTCATTTGCCGGAAAAGGCATTGAAGAGTTGTAGTGCGGTATTTGTGGGGTCTGGAAGTCAGATTGCCTGCTTGTGGATTCTGATTCCAACTCTTAATCATTAGGCAAGTTACCTGACCAGTTTACCTGCTGTGTCTCAGTTTCCTTACTTAAAAAGTGATAACAATAGTTCTCTTCTTTAGGATTAGGAATACCTGGCGCAGGCTGGGTGCGGTGGCTCACACCTGCAATCCCAGCATTGTGGGAGGCTGAGGCAGGAGGATCACTTGAGCCCACGAGTTTGAGACCAGCCTGGGCAACAAAGTGAGACCCTATTAAAAAAAAAAAAAAAAAAAAAGGAATACCTGGCACATAATAAACATAGTAATCAACATTTACTATTATTATTATTATTGTTTGAGACAGGGTCTTACTCTTTTGCCCAGGCTGGAGTGCAGTGGTGTAATCTGTAACCTCTGCCCCCAGAGCTTAAGCAATCCTCCCACCTCAGCCTCCCAAATAGCTGGGACTATAGGCACATGCCCCCACACCCGGCTAATTTTTCGTTACTTTTTGTAGAGATGAGGGCTTCCAATGTTGCCCAGGATGGTCTCAAACTCCTGGGCTCAAGCAATCTGCCCACCTCAGCCTCCCAAATTGCTAGGATTACAGGTGTGAGCCCCTGTACTGGCCAACATTTACTACTATTTTTATGAACAAAACCTTAGTCATCTTATTTAAACACATTTCTCCAGAAAGAACATGGTATTACTTCCTCAGAAATCATACTTGAGATATAACTGACTTTAATGTGTTATAGGTATTGTAAGGAGAATTATCTAGATCAATTTTTTATCAATTAGAAATAAAATTTAAGGTTCTTTAGAGCATTATCCTTTTAAAAGTTCTGTATTGAACAGAGGAACTGAGAAGTAAAGAAATCATCGATGTAGACCATTATGATCTAATCCATTTCTTCATATGTTTAGATTTCTTATGAGTCTATGAAAGAGGATTATTCTTATAAAAAGAAATAGTTTCTAACAGCTCATATATAAAAATATATTAGCTCATGATTTAGCATAATTCCCATTTTAAAATTAAAACAAATGCACTTTTGAACTAAACAATGCTTTTTATACATGTGTGTTTCACATTGCCATTTAAAAACACATCAATCATCTTTAAATTACAAGTAAATTTATCTTCTATATTTTCACTGCTAGTGTTACTCTAAAACAACTTATTTTTTTAAGTTTCCAAAGGAGTAAAATTT